AAAAAAAAAAAAAAAAAACGTTTTTTTTTTTTAATCTCAAATTTGGTAACGAATTTCAATATGACCCTAAGGCAAAAGTGTTTCCGTTTATTTTTCTTCATAACATATTTTTTTTTAGATTTTTTTGATTTTTTTTTTTTGATTTTTTTCCATACGTACGGTCCGTACGACCACATGAGCCCATACGTACGATCGTACGTACGTACGTACGGCCCGTATTCGTACGGGGGTATACAGAGAGAGAACTCAAATAAGAGAAAGCAAAATATGAATTCAAATGTCTTATAATATAAAACTTTCAAGTGTCAACATCATTACTGAAAATTTAATGAAAAAAAAAAGTGAAACCGCACGTTTCTTCCACCATCCCACTCCAACTCCTCGTTCTCCCTCCCACTTTAGTTACTCTCACTTCTACTTTTCTCACTCTAATACAACTAACTGCATATTTTAACGACAAACACAAATCGCACTATTCACCTACATTATCCTGTCCGCGAAGTTGCCTCCTCCTTTCTTCAAGTGTGAACGCCTCGTGCTCATGAACAACAACATTTCCATCAGGATAAAGGTTTGTCGTGTTGTCACACCCAGGTCTAGCAACTGTCAAATCATTTATGTTTCTTTTGTCCCCCCTTCGGAAATGGCAGATTGAGCCACAGTGTGTGTGGACATGAACGCCTTAGAGCTTCAAACAATGCGAGCACCACCTCATGTAATTTGGTTTCATGTTGTTTATTTATGCTCGTGAGAGCATTCAATTCATTTTTCACATGCTCCATCTCCTTTATAAACCACACCGAAAATGAACACTAATAACATTTGCTAATAAAATTTTGAGGGTATGTGATTGTTCCTTACAATTCCTAATCAGGCCATGTGTCAGCCCCTCATCGCATCGATTCGAGAAATGTTCCCTGAACACAACGTCCAATAACTCTTCCCGCGTCTCTTTGTACAATTATCTGAGGCTAAGAATCATCGCCCTCTACTGACTATCGCTAACGGGAAACCTCGTTGTATTTTGCATCTCCAAGAGTGCATTTCTATGTGCAAGATTTAAACCAACTTTTCGTAATGATTCCAACATAACAATCAAATAATTTTTTGAAAGCTCTTCCAAAGTTCCAACTAATGGAAGCTCAAACAACTCCGATGCAAAAGACGAATCAATAGATAGCAAAGCACCCGCCGATAACAATGTTCTAATCCCACTTTCGGCTGCTTCACATCAAAGACGCAAAGACTTACTCTTTTGCCACACATGCGGATCAATTCTACCACTAAGCTTCGCAACTTGGTTAAGCAACTGATTTATAAACAGCCATTTCGTCAAAACGGACATATTATATTTTTTTAAACGAAATTAAAATTAAGTTTTTGGGCCAAAATCCGGTCCAAATTTTTTGTTCCGGGGGGTCCGGCGTTCCAAGAACGTCGGACCCCCTAGATGTATCCGGTCACAGCTTAAGAACAGATACATCTAGAGAGAACGCCAAACCCCTAAGAGCCAAAAATTTGGACCGGATTTTGGTCCAAAAACTCAATTTTTATTTTGTTCAAAAAATATAATATGTCCGTTTAGACAAAATTGTTGTTCATAATGGCGGATTGCATTAACGGTCTGAATTGTTTGGAGATGTGTTCGTCAAGAATCAAAGGGTTGTCGAGCCCCGGCCCCGGGGCCCCGGCGGGGG